ATACATCCTTTCAAAGGCACATGGGGGTGACATATGACTTCTGTAGCTTATAGGGCAGAAGACAAAGTAAAGATCAGTTCTGGCTAGTAACTCTACCTGTGTCTGCTCACTTGGACCTGCCAACATGTCCCTGACCTCCTCCTGGCAGCATAGTCATATCTGCCATGGTACCAATCCCAAACCCAGGCTTTTTAAGGATGAACACCCTGAGCCATTCTTTGAGATAACGGTCACTTTTCTGCCCCTGATGTTTCATAGATGGGCTAGTAAGAGAAGGTCCAGAACATATGGTTAGAGGACCTTATGGAGAGCAATATAGTTCTCAGAGCCAGGATCCTGAAAGGGAAGCATCATAGCACATATCCTCACTTCATTGAGGGCTCAGATGTGGGACCATTTGGCACAGAGACCCTTCAACACAAATGCCACAGGTTTAGCAAACCTGGGGAAATAAGGGTTAGCAGCAACCCAATGTCTGTAGGAATCATCATGTTCTATACTTTGCTCCACAGGCCCTTCTGCAGCCTAGTGAATATCATTCTGCAGAAGCTTTCCAAAAGCCCTGTTGAAAATGGTCACATACACTCTCCACTGTCATAGTATGGTTCAGGCACCCTCATTTTTTCCTCAGGAAATGGTAGGTATTTGTCACCTTGTCTCTCATCCCCAGGACTTCTTGTTGCACCCTTCACAGTTGATCCTTTGCAAACATCCAACTCATGGCATCTCCAAGAGTCATGCCTTGGTGGATTTCTCTTCCAATTTCACCCCATGCATCAGCCATTATTCTCCCAGGACCCATTGCATATGGCATTCTCTCTAATAAAAATATAAACAAGATTCTAAATATTAAGGTGTTTGTGAGTATGGAGTGTGAGGACATTTGTGAAATGTCTAACTTAAGCACTACACACAGATGCTTAAACAGACTTCTCTGAATTAATGAAAGTCCAATAGATTATTCTAAAACTGTTCTTAGAATTGAAGGAGATGTGAAGTTATTTGCATAGAGGATTTCTCTTCTTAGAGATGAATGATAATGTATAGAGGCTGCAAGAGGAAAGTATAGGAGCTCCAGATGGATATCCTCCATCCCTACTGCCTGTCAAAACCCAAGGCAGGTTCTTGATGAGATATGAGATAAGACAGAAATTTCTGATTTCTTTTATCTGTGCTGAAACTGGGTTCTGAGAAATGAAACCAGGAATGTATGAAACCTACCTAGGCAGCAGATAAAAGAACTCAGTCATGATCTCTATGGGGGCCATAACTCTTGAAAAACCAAAGAGGACCTGCTTGACCATTGGAGAGTCATTTCTTCCTCAGGAAGAATTAAATGAAAGTTAACTAAGGCCCAAGGATGAAAAGAATCAGTGCTATTTTTTCTTGGGCATTAGCACAGAATTCCCAATATAGATAGGTTTAATTTGGAAACATACCTGTGTCAGCAGGAACAAAGGCCACTAAAAAGATTGTGAAATTGATCTTCATGAGAAAACAAAAATTTACTTAAAGAGTCAAGACCCAGAGGGAAAAATAGAGGAAAGACAAGGAATCCAGCTGGATGGAGAGAGACTAGAGCACTGGGGAGGAAGGAACAGAGTTCAGAAATAATGAGCAGTCCTGAGAAGGATGACACTGAATCAGTGGCAAAGCCACTCCAGTGGCAACACTGTCTTGGCCTCCAAGGCCATCTTAGTTCTCACTGTTATAACAGAATATCACAGACCCTTCACATTTCCAGAGAGTAGAAACCCCACATCAAGGTACTGTCCTGGTTGGTGTCTTAGGAGGATCTATTTCCTGGTTCATAGGATACCTTCTTCCTATGTCCTGACTCAGAAGTGGAGAATTGCAGTCTTACTTACAGAGCATCCTAGCCCATTTGTGAGGGTTCTATCCTGACAACCAAATTTCTTTCCAATTGCCTACGTCCAAACACAGTCACCTTGGGAATTACATTTCAACATAGGAAAGCTATGAGGACACAATCATTCAATTACAATAAGCAGCTTGTTCAGGTATAGATTTGTCACACTAATGGAACCAAGAAAGGACATATTTCCTACCGAGGCCCCAACAAGGCAGGTTGTAGTCAGGCAACCTGTTAACTTCCTACAGAAAGGATTAGGACCTGAGGTCACACATGAGCTCTTCCCTCAAATATGCTGATATTCTCAGGAAGGTCTTGAGTCTCAGCCCATCTGCTGCCATTAGGCTGAGTCCTCTGCCACCTCGACTGGTTGGAAAAGGAGGGGCTCGATCAGATCAGGATAACATGTGTGCCACACTGTGCAGCCAGACTGTCTGCCTCCTGGTGCTTGGTGCTTGTCTTCTTAGTAACTCTGAGATTCCAGGCAAGAGTTATTAGGTTACTCCAGCTGTGTCCCTGTCATGCTCTAGGAGCCCAGGGATGGTTGTCCACTGCATTATCAGGCTAAGAATCATCCTTGAAGGAAAAGGAAGATGAATGGCAGGCCAAGGTCAGAGTCATAAATGCCAGCAGAAATGTCTCATCAGTCCATTATCCTCACCATCCAAAGCTGGAAATGCAAGATTTTCATTAAGAATGGCCACATTTCCTCCAGGCTTCTAAAGAGCCCAGTGGGCTTTCCCTCTATCATTAATCAAGCAAATTGGCTGTTTGTGAAGACATTGTAGAAATAAACAGCAGGCACTGACCTCTGACCAAATCTGCAGACAGGCTCTGGTTGGCCAGCAATGTCAGATAAGCAGTGGACAGAGGGTCCAGCTGGGAGGACAATCTGACATCCAGATGCCCCAGTACGAACAATCTATCCCCAGGCAAGGACTCTGTGCCAAACTGCTGCTAGCCCACCTGTCTTGAGAGGGCACTGCGTCCAAGCCAGAGGATGGAGCAGATGGTGGCCGAGGGTAAGGGTTGTAGGAGGGTCTGTTCACCACTGAATCAGAAGGGGGAATGTGAAACAGCATCTGTCTCCATACAAGCCTCTCTCAGCTCCAAACACACATGTGGACACCTTCAGCCAGAGTAGCAAGCAGCTGTCCCCACAGAGACTACCTATGCACCTGACTTATGAAGAGTTCCACACGGTCCTTGACAGATTGTCATTTGGAGTCTTTACCGTTAAGTGAAGCACTGGAAGTGACATGAAATTTGAGGTAGCTGAAATGGAAGCCCGGGAGCTGCTACAGAGGAAAAGCTTCTCTTATCAGACTGACAGAGACCTGTAACCTGGGTCTAGAACAGGAGCTTCTAGGGAAGCTTCTAGCAGGTCGGTGATATGTTTTAGAAAACTAAATGCCAGAGGGAGAGGTGATTTTGTCAGGCCATTCAATAGCTTTTAAGTGCACAGAAATGCAAAAATTCCAATCGGAGAGGACATTTTATGACAATATCATATTGGCCCCCACAGCTTAGATCAGACAGCACAGTGGCCAGACAGCACAACTCATAACATTTCCCACCATGCTCTGGAAACCCATTTGAATAGATGGGGTGGCAATGTGCTAATGCTTCTGTTAGTTCAATTACATGTTGAAATCACTGGCAGAGGCAGTTCTAATGACAGAGCACAATAGCGAGTCCTCCCTGAGCAAGGTTGCCTGGGAAATCTTAGCAAATTCTCCGGGTTCTGAGGGACTGGTTATCACTTTTATTACTAGCTGAGTCAGACAAGCCCTAAACTAACTTGTCAAGAAAACAAGAACAAGAAACACCCAAGTCAGACAGTGCTTGGTAGGGAAGAATAAACAACAGCACACAGGCAAATGCAATGCCTTTTGAAGCCGCTGGAAGCCACTTATTTAGGTATTTTTCTTCCAAGGGACTTTGTACTAAATTGCAACCAAATTGATTTGCTGTAAGAGCACTTGGTTAGCTTCTCAAAACAGAAATCCCTGACCACAAGGCTAATAGAGGAAGACAGAGTCTCTGAGACCAATTCACTTTGGTAGAGAAGCCTGGAGATGGATGACCTTGCAAAAATCTCCCTATGTTTTCACAGTTCTTGCAGTATTCTAAGCTAGGATCACCATCCCAAGGGCAGCCATCTGGGGAAAGAACGAAGATGGACTTGGGAGCTCCATTTCCAGGGGGATTTTCATTAATTTCATCAAGACAAAGTTAATAATCCATGACAGCCATTTTTTCTTTAGTTGGTTGTTCTAAGCATGTTAGAGTCTTTTCGATAAATCTCACAGCTAGAGGCTAGGAGAAATTAGTTTGCCTTCTATGCTGTCATTAGGAAAGAAAGAAGTGGTAATAGTTTCTGAGAAAACTTGAAGGGAATGGCTTGTAAATGAGATGAATCTACAAGCTTCCCAAGTGTTGGGCAGAGGAGTAAATAAATCTACACTCCCCTCCCATCATAGCCCCAAAGAAGAATGTAGATACAAGACATGGAAACAGACAGAGATTTCTTTAATAAAGTGCTTTACTTATCTCTGTATAAAGTGGCTTCTAAAGACCATTTGACTTGGATTTCGAGAGATTATTAGCAAAGTCTAGGAAGGGGTACAGCAACTGGCTATGTCCTAAACCTGTTCTCTAGCCATTTTGCTTGGTGGAGATTCTTTAGCATCCTGGCTGGCCTTAGCTTCAGCACTTAGCAGATGTGCCAGAACTGTTACAAATGTTTTGAAAGTATGTTGTCTGTGTAAGTGACTTCTTACAAAGAAAAACTCAAAGGAAGTCTCCATCTCTAGCCCTGCCACAAAGCACTCAGCATAGAGGCCTAAGAGACAGCAATCCGCCCCACCTCAATCATGTAACTTTTAAATATCAGAGGTACCCAGTGAGCAAGTAGGCTTTGCCTGCTGATTCCAGGCATAATTACCACTAATGCTACTATGAGACACTTGTGTCCAGTTGACTGGTTTCCATTTGAGCAAATGACAGCATTTTAGTCATTAAAGTGGGTGGGTAACAATGTTCAGCTAGAGGCCAGCAGGCTCAGCATGTCTCCTGTCTCATGGTGTCGGGGGAGCCCTGCATGGAGGAGACACTGTGCACTGACCTGCAGCATTTGGAGGTAGCCTTCCTGTGGATCACAGAGCAGGGAAGAGATGCGGTGGTTATTCCTCATGCATTTCTGGTTGTCCTTCGCAGATGGGAAGATTTGCCGGACCACGGTCATCCTGCCAAGGGCACTGTGGACCAGATCCAGGATCTCGGGATCACTGATTTCCTGAAGAAATAACCAGATCCATGCTTATACCCTCATGAATAAAAAAAAGTCACTAGGAGGCATCCAGGCCCAAAGCCCAAACAGTTAATGCTGAAGAGGTCAAAGGATTAGTCCCAAGCTATACATTTCATTAGTTATTTCTTTACAAAAAAAATGCTTATAATCCTTTAGGTCCAAACATTCCCTCTGAGATCTGGTCTGTGGTAAGCACCAAGGTACGGTAGAGGTCAAATATAATCCTTAACTATGGAGCATACTGATTGTTCCAGGGATCAAAGACATCTATTGTCCATGATTTTGGTACACTAGGTGTTTTACACACATTTCTTAATGCCATGCTCAAAAACAACCCTGGGAATGCTGTGAAGGGGATCCAATTATTACGGCATTTCATCCTCGAGCATAGATATTGGAAAGGGAGCTGCTCTCTCCAAAGGAGGCTTCTACAAGAAATCAGCCTTAAACTAAGTCTAAGAATGAACACAGATAAGTGTGTGTGTGTGTGTGTGTGTGTGTGTGTGTGTGTGTGTATGTGTGTGTGTGTGTGTATGTGCATGCGCACACGCACGCACATGTACAGGGCAAAGTATAGCTGGGAAGCTGGCACTATAGAGTCTGCAGGGACTAGATGGACTCTGCTCCTTGTAAAGATATCAGTGGAGGAGAGGCAGATGGGGAAGTCAGGGTCCATCCATTCCACTTCAAACAATCAACAGAAACATAGAAAGTAAACATTTTTCCTAGGGTGAATTAGGAGCTTGAAACATTTTAGGTACAAATACGCTGTAATCAGAATGGCATTTTTGAAAACTTCTGGTTGCCTTATGGGGCAATGTTTGAGAGGAACAAACCAAGGAGGGGGAGAAGCAGGGGGAGAAGGGGGAGGAAGAGAAGGAGGAGGAGGAGGAGGAGGAGGAGGAGGAGGAGGAGGAGGAGGAGAAGGAAGAAGCATAGAGGAGAGTTTGAGGCTGCACAGATGGGCCTAAAACCGAATTACAAAGAAATGGAAACCCGTATTCACCCAGTCTTCCAGCAGTGGAGCAGTCAGATGAAGGACATCCCAGGCTCACTGTCTCTGAGAAATTACCACATTAATGCTTGGCTCCAAGTCAACATTTTAACTAAAATAGTTGTATTTTAAAATAATCTTTAAATCTTCCTCTTTGCAGATGACCCATTCTAGTTTGGAGCCCCTGTGACAGTACAAATGGAGCCAGCCAGGCAGGAAATTAGTGGTTGGGATTTTGAAATCATTTAAATGAGAGCATAACTTTTTAAGGGGTAAGATGCTAAATCAAGCATTTAGGGTCTGTCTTAGGATGCTGTGTGTGTGTCTGAGAAGCCTGGTCAGTTGACAGCACATGCTAGATCTGGAAGAGAGTAAAGCACAAAGGCTCATAGCACAATTTTCACTTCCTAATATATTGAACTGCCTGATCCCATAAAAGTTACAATGCTGTTACATTGTGGATCTAAACCCATGTCACTGAAGTTTATATTCATGACAGATTGGGACTAAGAGATATTCCAAGGTAAAGAACTTGGTCAGAAGGGACAGTCTCTGAACACAGAGAGCTTCAGAGTGGGCGAGGCTGAGCAGAGCCTGGACATGTGCGCTCAGTTCTGTTCTAGTGGCCCTGGGGACCAAGGTCCTTCTAAGAGCACAGGCTAGAGGATGAGAGAAATCACAGTCTAATTTCAAGGGAAGGGGGATATCAGAAAGAATAACAAGCAGATGGTTCACTCTGCCCAAACTAGAAGTGGAGAGAGGATTTGGGGTGTGGATGTATTATCTAGAAAATGCATATCAGCCAGGCTTGTAACATCAGCACTAGAGAGGTTGAGGGAGAAGAACTGCTGTAAGTTCAAGGCCAGCCTGTGCTACACAGTCAGTTATGGGCCAGCATGGCCTAGAGTGAGATCCTAACTCTATTAACAAAGCAAACAAATAAGTAAATAAATAGGCAAAAGGAAGAAGATGGGGAATGTAATTGTCATGAAATGTAATACTGGACTTGAGTATAAAGGTGTTAGAGACAACATAGGCACAAGTCAAAACAGAATGTGTCTCATGCCATCTATTTTTTCCACACATTCTTGGTGGAAAGTTCCATTTTTCTAGAAATCAATTTATTAAGCCTCTCCTGCTTCTTAACTTCCAGTAGGACAAACAGAAATACTCAGTTCTCACCATCATACTCCAGACAAATTTTGGAGATTTGTTAGGGATCTGACATTTGACCTACCTAGTACTTTCCATGGCTACCTGCAGCTCATCTACAGTGAGTAGCTAAGGTATACTGTGATATGGCCTGCGGTGGGGACTCAATGCTTTGGCCCATCTGCCCTGATTTGCCAACTCTTCCTCTTCTATTCTGCCTGCCCAGGACCCCTTGAAGACTTGGCACCGCTTTATGGAAACCTAATAGCTTCCATATGCCTCCCAGACAGTAGGGATCTGCTGAAACCTTGTATACACACCTGGCTCCAATGGATCAGTTCTGATCCACTAGCCACAGGTCAAAGCATGGTCCTGCCTGCTAATGGACACCTAGATCACTCCCTGTGCTTCTAGACTATCTTTCTTCTGGAATCCAGAGATATCTGCAATAAAGTTCGGGGAGTCCAGTCAGTTATTTACAGACAACCAAAAAGTTTGAATCCTGCCCTTGCCCTAATTCTGAATATCGATGAATAGTTCATTCAAGCAGCCGCAAGCCAGGATCTACTCCTGTCCTGCTAGCCCGGCTGGGTTCTGTAAGTACCACAGGAGTGAGCACAGGATGTATGCCTCTGTATCAATGCAAGAGTCCCCAAACTAGACTTCCTCTACAGAGGGAAATATATGCAGCCAATTTAAATGAGAAGCTTGGAGAGCAAACTTCCCCTCACCCTAGTTAAGCATGCATTCCAATAATGCTGATAAATGTAAGCAGCAGGGCCATGTGTCTGTTCCACTGTGGAATAAACTAGTAGAGGAAGAAGAAAAAAGAAGCAGTGTATCATATGACACTCCCTGGAGTACACAGCATCAAAAATGACTTTAATTTTTACATTGAAATTTATGTTTCTCTGTGAAATATGCATGATCATTTTGTACATTAAATATGAATAATGAAATGAATTCACTGTATCTTCCATCCAACTAAGAAGTAAAATGATGCCCACATCTTAGTTGGATGGTTTCTCATGCTTACTCCTCCCTTCTTGTCACAAGCAGCATTTGTCATGCAAGGGCCTAAATGGCTTGTAATTTGGTCTTGCACATTTTGCTGTGTAAATGTTGCACAACATGGATCCTTCCGTGACCCCGTTTTTATGCTGTGTTTCTCATACTCTGTTGCACATCAGAGTCATCTGGGAGCTTGATAACTCTGAAGGAATCCATCCCTGATCACTTCAAGGAGCAAACTCTCTGGGTTTTCCACAAGCAAACTAAATAATACCCCAACAGTCACCAATGTTTGAAGCTACCTGCTCATGGCATGGAGAGATGGCTCGGTGGTCAGGAGTCAGAACCCATGTGGAGACACAGTCATCTGTAACTCCAGTTCCAGTGATTCCAATACCCTGGCCTGGCTCTGAGGGCACTGCATAGACATGGTGCACATACGTACATGTAGGCAAAGTACACATAAAGTAAAAAGAAATAATTATTTAAAATTAAATGACTAGCTAAACATTAGAGTTCTGAGGCTTGTCCATGGTGATGACTGTAGCTGCCATTTAATTTTTTAAAAGTGTGAATGACAACACTACATGACAGTCATCACTTATTCACCCATTACTGATAACCTTTTGGATGTTTCACTTGTTAGCTTCTATGAACAATTTCCTGTGTGTCTTCATGTACTTCAATAAGAATTTCTGTTGTATATATCATATACCTAGGATTGTGGTATCCTGATAAGACAATAGGAATGAGGGCTGGAGAGATGGCTCAGTGGCTGTTCTTCCAAAGGACCTGGATTCAAATTCCCAGTACCCACAAGGTGGCTCACTGTGTGTAACTCCAGCTACAGGAAATCTAATCTACTTTTGACCTCCCTAGACATCAAGTGCTCATGGGGTATGCAGACATATGTTACATACAGAAAGAAAACAGAAATAATTTTAAAAATAGGAACATGCTCAAATTTATTAGAAAGTGTCAAATTTCTAATGGAATTGTACCAATTTATAATTATAATTTATACCAGTTATGTGTGCCAATGGGAGTACAACATACTTGCCTATACCTTATATATGGCATGACTTCCTAAGATGTGCCAGTCTCATGAGTATGGCCTGTAATATTGCTGGGATTTGTTTTCAGTACCTTATTCTTAAGATGGCTGAATATCTCTCATACATTTCTGAATCATTTGTGTCTCCTTCCCTATATTTGTGGGTTTTTAAATTTTCATTGGGCAAATCTCTTGCACAGTGATTTATGATTCTTTTATTTTAAAATTTATTCTAAATATGGCTTGTCATGTGCTACAGATACCTTCTCCAAGTTGAGGGATGTTTAAGTCAGCCTTTAAACCCTTCTAAGCTTGGACCTAGAGAGCCTTGCTTTGTGGTCACTGTGCATAGCTGCTTCACATGACTTTGCTACACAGTTGCTGGTACCAAAGATCAATTTTCAGGTCCATTAAATCAGGATTTGGTTTATTCTTGAATTCTGCCTGTGTTTTCTTGACATATTTTAAAGACTTGCTATTAGTTATACACAAGTTTAGAAGTCTATCTCCTTGCTGAGCTGATGATTTTATTACTATTTAAATATCATCTTTATTTCTAATAATGTATCTTGCCTTACAGTTTACTGTGTCTGTTGTTACTATAGCTATACCATTTGTATAATGGTTATTATCCACATTTTTCATCTCCTTGTTTTCCTTTGATTTTTCTCTGTCTCATATTTTAGTTGGAATACCTGTAAACAAAACACACTGGAAATATTTATACACATACCTGAGATATAAGTAGAAATTCTAACCATTTATACTGATTAT